GCTCGATCAGTATCCCACTCACGATTTGAAGCATTCACTCCTTCCACCAGCAGAGCACAATGGCATCATTGCATGTCATCTACAAGATACACTACAGCAACTCACCAAAGTTCATATTACAACACCATTCAAACCTGTGACCTGTACTATAAGGACACGAAAAACAGATGCATGGGATACCACCACCTGTACATTTCCCTCCAAGTCCTGAGTTGGCATAATTTCACTGTTCCTTCATTGTCATTGGCTTAAAATCCTGCAACTTTACAGCTAACAATAGAAATAGCTTCCGCATATCAATTGCAGTGGTTCAAGAAGATGCTTCTCAACAGCAATTGGGTTAGCAGTAAGTATTGGCCAGAAGGCATAACCACCTTCCATGAAGCCATGTAAAATACAGTAATGCTGAGTGAGCCTGTTTAATCTGTTCAGGGTTGGAAGTTAGCAATTAATTTGTGATAGAGGTACAATGCTCAATGGAGAAAGTTATTACCAGATACACAGTAAGTCTCAGTTTTCATCTGGTTTCTCTGTTGAGGAATAAATCAAATAGAGTGCAAATCCTACAAATAGTGCTCAGTACAATGCCTGTTTCCAGAGTCAGCCTTGTTTAACTAGCAAGGGAGCTCATCTATTACTGGATGTGAAGTCATACAATGATACACATATATATGTTTTCAAAGCAGAATCACAGAAATGCAGAAACTGAAAGACATAACTAGTTGTGGAAGGAGCTGGATGGAGATCTTGCTGTTCTATGCACCATATGTGACTCTTTGATGTCACTCTCCAGGACATCCAGATACTTATTTGTTGGTGCATTGCGAATGTTCAGCTAATGTTAAGAGGAGCACCACAGACTGTGTGCCAAGAGGTGACTTACGATGCAATGCAAGTTTACTATTCAACAGTAGTAGTTGTTTAATGAAAACATTAGTTGCAGTAAGGTGGAAGACTTTGTCAAAATGATATATAAGTTATGTACATAAATTTTGCAGGTGTACAGCCTTATAGCACTTTGAATGGTTCCCATGGACAACCAATATGCTGTACATGATCTTTTCATCAGCTCCCTCAGTCTCCGAATGCTCCTTTATTATTTTTACATCATATTCCTCTGCTATTTTCTTCAATCTATAGTTCATATATTGTGCCTCTTTCTCTTCTCACACCCTCCATGGGAGGCACACAGGCATGAATATCATTACTGATTCTCTTAATGATATCAAATATTGCCTTTTGGGCTATATTTGCAGGAAACAATCATCCATAACAGAAGAGGAAAAAAGTCACAAACCTAGGTAATGCCTCCTGATCTCCTTTGAGAATGCTTCCACAGAGATCAAAGGCACAGAGACCATAATTATTAACAACACAAGCCCAGCTCAGAAGCATCAAAAGGTGAACTAAAGAAGAATTCCATGTCATCCATTCATTACTGTGACTCTCTTCTTTTTCACAGTCTTGCAGAACACTCAGAAATAAATGACCCAGAGACAATTTGAGATTTTTAGTACAACTCCCCAAGGGCATCTGGGAAGTGGATTTGAAAAGAATACCACAGCTGATGCAGAGAGTAACTATGGATAGCAGTAGGTGATGCTGACACCTCGAGGAAAAACATCCTGCTTTCTTGAGAGTCAGCATGCAATTACACTTTAAATGCTCTTGACATTCAATGTCATTACTATAGCTGAATTTCCCAGTATCAATATGCTGTGGCTACCATTGATCAGAAACTAAACTGAACCAGCCACAAAAATACTGTGGCTACAAGAACAGGTCAGAGATTGGGAATTCTGCAGTTTTTGAGTCACATTTGAATCCCCAAACTCTGTCATCATCTATTTGACACCAGTCAGGAGTCTGGTGAAAAACTTTACTGTTGCCTGGATGAGAGTTCTGCAATCTCTCACCTTCTAGAAAATGTACTTCCTTAAATATTTCTACCAAAATGGACAATTTCACATTTTCTTACATTATATTCCTTTTTCCAGATGTTTGCCTAATACCTTAATTTATCTCACTAAATCACAGTTCTTTTAATGGCATAGGAAGATGCCATTCAGCCCATCACGTCCACAAAAGAGTATCATGACTTAGCAACCTTCTCCTACCTTCTCCCCAAACCTTTGTATATTTATTTCTGTTTAAATGCATCAATTGAACCATCCTCCACAAGTCCAGACAGTGCATTCCATACCTGAACCACTCGCTGTGTGAATAAAGGGTTTTCTCACCTCACATTTGCTTCTTTTGCAAATCATTTAAAAACTGTGCCCACTCATTCTTGATCCTCTTACCAGTGGGAACAGTTTCCACTAGCACGTGAAACTAGAACTAGGGGGCATGGTCTCAAAATAAAGGTGAGCAGATTTAGGACTGAGTTGAGGGGAAACTTCTTCACTCAAAGGGTTGTGAATCTGGAATTCCCTGCCCAGTGAAGTAGTTGAGGCTACCGCATTGAATTTTTTTAAGGCAAAGATAGGTACATTCTTGAACAGTAAACAAATTAAGGGTTATGGTGAGTGGGTGGGTAAGTAGACCTGAGTCCACAAAAAGATCAGTCATGATCTTATTGAATGGCGGAGCAGGCTCGATGGGCCAGATAGCCTACACCTGCTCCTATTTCTTATGCTCTTAGTAACAGTTTCTCTCTATCTACTCTACCCCACCACTTCATGATTTTGAAAAAGCCTCTCAGCTCTTTTCAACCTTTTTCTCTCCAAGTACAACAGTTCCACCCTCTCCAATCTATCCTTGTAACTGCAGTTTCTCATCCCTGAATCGACTCTTGTATATCTGCTCTGTATTTTCCCCAACACATTCACACCTTCCCTATAATGTGATGTCAAACCTGTACACAATAGTCCAGCTGAGGTCTAACTATCATCTTATACATGTACAGCATTACTTCCTTGCTCTTGTACTCTATGCCCCTATTAATAAAAACCAGGATCCTGTATCCCTTATTTATTGCTGTCTCCACCTGTCCTGACACCTTCAAAGATCTGTGCAAATATAACCCCATGACCCTCTATTTCTACATCCCCTTTAGAACTGTACCCCTTATGTGATTTTGTCTGTCTGTGTTCTTCCCATCAAAATGCATTACCTCTTCTTCTCTGCGTTGAACCTCATCTGCAACCTACCTGCCCACTGCACCAACTGTTCATATGTCTTTTTGAAGTTCTAAACTATCCTACTCACAGTTTACAAAGCTTCCAAGTTTCATATCTTCCACCAATTTTGAAATTGTCTCCTGCACACTGAAATCCAAATCATTAACATGTATCAGGAAAAGCAAAGGTCCCAATACCGACCCATGGGAAATTCCACTATAAACCTTCCTCCAGCACAAAAAATATCCATTAACTGTTATGCTCTGCTTCCTATCAATCAACCCATTTTATTTCTATGTTGCCACTGTCACTTTTATTCCAAGGGTTATAATTCTCACAAGTCTGTGTCTACAACTATATCAAATATCTATCTGTAACACTTTATAATCTCCTTAAGTTGTTTTTACAACTTACTGTTTTACCTATTTTGTTTCTTCACCTAACTTAGCAACCATATCTTCAAATGCTTCATTCAAGTTATTTATATAAATTGAAGCCCCAACATTGATCACTGTGGCACCCACGTATTACATCTTGCTGACCAGAAAAGACCCATTTACACCTATTCATTAGATAACCATTCTTCTATCGTGCTAATATGTTACCCCAAACACCTTGTGTTTTTTTTCTGCAATAACCTTTGATATGGTACCTTACTAAGAAACCTTCTGGAAATCTAAGTACAGTGAATCCACTGTTCCCAATTATCCACAGCATATGTTATTTGTTCAAAGAACTGTAATAAGTTAGTTAAAAATTATTTTGCCTTTACAAGCCCTCAGCCTAACTCTCTACACTAACCCTCAGCCAGCATTGTTTCTGTTATAGCTATGTTCAGTGTATCATGCTGTCATGAGTCTTACACCTCATCAGTTTGCCTCTGTTATGAGCAGCTCTACTAATGATTAAGAAACTGAACAGCACAGTATTAGTTTTCCTTTCACTCAGCCAGCACTATGGGCAACATCTTCCCCTCCTTGGAGTAGTGGGAAAGGAAAATAATTGGATGAGTTGGCCCTGGAAAATAGCTCATGCTCTTCTGGCAAACTCACCAATTAAATGCTGGGCAGAAAGGCACTTAGGACTCTTTTCAGACTCATCAGTAATAAAGGCACTAAGTAGTCAATTAAAACTTAGTCAAAGTAGACGCTTAAGACCCTCAATTCGATCCTGCCCCAATTATCTGTTTTTCTGACAAACAAGAAAAGAGGCTGGTTTCCCAACTCAATTTGCCCCTTTCTGAGGGCAATCAAAGACATGGATGTGGAAAGGGGGAGGCTTTTAAACCATCTCTGCCCTTGCATCTGATGGCTTTCACCTCCCTCTCATCCCTGTGACACTAATCCCATGAGAAGCTAAAGGAAACCATGTTTTTTTTAAATGTTTGGATCCCCTAAAGACTCGGTCTCCACCAATGCACTTTAGAACCAAGAAGCTGCTGGTGTCTGTTTGGCCAGTATCTTCAGGCAAGGAAGAGCTTCACTGTTGAGGTCTGCAATAGGCCAAGAAGCTCACAGGTCAGTTCTTAGCAAGTTGATTGTCTCACAATTTGGTGAGCTTCCTTGGTGCTGGAGGCTGTGAATATATGTAAGACCATAAGACATAGAAGTAGACTATTCAGCCCATCGAGTCTGCACTGTCATTCAATGAGATCATGGGTGAACTGCCCACTAAGAGAATTGTGGTGGCTACTTTCTTTTTTAAATGAGAAGAATAGCTTTTTGTAATTAACATGTTAATTTGGGGTAATCAATGAGAGGTTCATTGCTGCACATGGCTGGAGCTCAACTGCTAAGCTGCTTTTATATACATTGATGGCAAAAATGGAAGAAAGTACACACATCTATAGAATAATAAATAAACTGATTCTTTTCTTACTTCACTGGCCTTTAAGACTCCGAATAATGGAAAGAGAAAGGCAGGAACCATTGCTGCTGCACCAAGTGGGACGGCCTCAGAGACCCAATATACTGCGGTGACTATCAGGACATATGCACATTGAGCTTCAGGCTGAAAGACAGAAACAGAAAATTTACTCAGTGGGTAACAAGTTTTATATGTCCTGGCACATCAACAGGAACAATGCATTGCGATATGCAACATTACATTAAGACACAGTGTGCCTGTGCAACATTCAGAAAACTAAATCAAAATATTGCTGATACCAGGAATAAAAGAGAAAGAGTTAACATTTCAGATTAATGACTTTGTGTCAGAATTTAAGGACAAAGAAAGGGTAAAGGAAGGGGAAAGGAATATCTAAAAGAGGTGGAAGGTGGGATAAATTAAGTGACAAAAAAGATCATGGTGCAAAGTAAAATAAGACGCTAATAGACAAAAAAAGAGATGGCTTTAGAGGAATTGTAAATAGAAACAGCAGAACAATTATTATAAGACCAGAAGACATTGGAGCAGAAGTAGGCCATTCGTCCCATACGGATTGCTCCACTATTCAATGAGATCATGGTTGACCTGATGATCCTCAACTCCACTTTCCTGCCTTTCCCCATAACACTTTATTCCCTTACTGCTTAAAAATCTGTCAATCTCAGCCTTGAATATACTTAACGACACAGCCTCGAAGCCCTCTTCTGTAAAGAATTCCACAGATTCACTACCCTCTGAGAAAAGTCATTCTTTCTCACCTCAATTTTAAATGGATGATCCTTTTCTCTTATATTATTTCCTTTGGTTCTAGGCGCTTCCACAAGGAAAAACAACCTTTCTGCATCTACCTTGTCAAGCCCCTAAAAATCATATTTTTCAATGAGGTCACTTCTCATTCTTCTAAAGTTCAATTAGTATAGGTCCAACCTACTCAATCTCTCCTCATAAGGGCATTCCAATAAGAATATGCCAGCACTTGCTTTCAAAAATAAAAATGGACTAAGGGTCATATTCTGTGAAAGAAAAATATCTGGAAAGTGTGTCCAAACAATCAAACTTACACTGAAAGCATTTTAATGGTATACTTCTTAAAATGCATTCTCTCATAAGTTATGGTCAATGCTGGCAAGATTACCATTTGCTGCCCATGCCTCATTGCCCTTGAGTTGGGTGGCTTTCTCAGCCATTTCAGACGGCAGTTAAAATTACATTGCTTCGGATTTGGAGTCACATGTAGGTCAGGCCAGGTAAGGATGGCAGATTTCCAAATGGGCTTTTACAACAATCAATGATAGGTTCATGATCACCATTACTGAAACTAGCTTTATGTTCCAGATTTATTAATCCAAGTTTAAATTCTACCAGCTACCAGAGCCTTAATTTGGATCTATAAAAACTGTCAAAACTGCAGATGCCGTAAATCAGGAACAAAAACAGAAATTGCTGGAAAAGCTCAGCAGGTCTGGCAGCATCTATAGAGAGAAATGAGAGTTAACATTTCGGGTTGAGTGACCCTTCCTCAGAACTGACAGTGGCTAGGAAAATATTGGTTTGTGTGCAGAAGATAGGGTAGGGAGAGGGGAATGGAGTAAAATGATAGGTGGGGATAGAGCTCAAAGACAGAGAAAAGAACAGTTGGACAGGCAAAGGGTTGCTAATAATGGGTTGTGTATAATAGCAGACTACATAATAACAAGGCCTAGTGTGTGGGGTTGGGGTGAGGAAATGGGGGAGCTTTCAAGCCCTAAAGTTATTGAAGTCGATATTGAATCCAGAAGGCTGCAGAGCCCCAAATGGAAAATGAGGTGCTGTTGTTCCAGTTTGTGCTGAGCTTCACTGGAGTGCTTGAGCAAGCCTGAGACAGAGACATTAGCCAGGGAACAGGGTGGTGTGTTGAAGTGGCAGACAACTGGAATTTCAGGGTCTTTTTTGCAGGCAGAATGCAAGTGTTCTGGAGGTGGTCACCCAGTCTACGCTTCATTTCCCCAATGTAAGGGAGACCATATTGTGAGCAGCGAATACAGTAGACTAGATTGAGTGAAGTACAAGTAAAGTGCTGCTTCACTTGGAAGGTGTGTTTGGGCCCTTGGTTACTGCATTAATCTGGTCTCTTGGTTACTAATCCAGAACATGAACAATATGCCTCTGTCTCCCCATATGTGAACAATCAAACCTATAACCAAACTAATTACTCTGTGGGATCAGGCAACCAAACCCATCACACCACTTGCACTAGGATAACAAGGTGTAGAGCTGGATGAACACAGCAGGCCGAGCAGCATCAGAGGAGCAGGAAGGCTGAAGTTTCGGGCCTAGACCCTTCTTCAGAAGAAGCCTGCTGTGTTCATCCAGCTCTACACCTTGTTATCTCAGATTCTCCAGCATCTGCAGTTTCTACTATCTCTCACACCACTTGCACTACATGCCCAGCATCGGCAGTGTAAATTTCTGGAATGTATTCATAGAATCCCTACAGTGTGAAATCAGGTCATTCAGCCCATCAAATCCACATCCCATTCAGACCCACCTCCTCTACCCTATCCCTGTAACTCTGCACTTACAATGGCTAACCCACCCACTCTACACATCCCTGGACACTATGGGCAATTTAGCATGGCCAATCCACCTATCCTGCTCATCTTTGGACTGTGGGAGGAAACCGGAGCATCCAGAGGAAACCAACACAGACATGGGGAGAATGTGTAAACTCCACACAGACAATCATCCAAGGGTGGAATCAAATGTAGGTTCCTGGTGCTGTGAGGCAGCAATGCTAACTGAACCACTGTGCCACCCAACAGGCAATGGGGTCTCGTCTGGGATATCAGTAAATCTGGTAAAACACTGTGCTCCCTGAAATACAAAACATAATCCTGGATAATCTGAAGGATTGATATTCAAATTCTTGGAAAGCCAGCTCCCATCAGAAAACAGAAGGTGGGATTTCAGACCAACAAATGGCTGACTTGGACAGTACTAGATTCATATGTGTCACAAAGCTGTTCATTAGTGTGCTTAAGGTACTGAAGGAAATAACAGAGCTGTTTGGAGACACAATGCTCAAATCAATAGGAAGATGGTTCGAGACCATATCAAAACCAAATCATTTTGTGATTTTAAACACCTTAATTAGATCACTCTTCATTAGATCACTCACTTGACCATTTCCCAAATGCATGCAACTTGTCCTCATGATTTAACCCTGTGAACCTCAATATCATTCAGTTAAATGTATATAATGTTCATTCTAAAGCCGATATGTCATGCATTAAGTGCGTGCCTCAAACTGAGCACAGTGCTCCAGATGTGAGCTGGCTACTACTTTATCCAACTGAGACATAACTTTGTTCCCACTGTAATTCAACTAATTGAAATCATTGGTAAAACTTTATTAACTTGTTTAATTGTTATTTGATCCTGCGCACTATTGGTTTTTATTTTACCTGGACACCTAGATATCTTTCATCTTTCACAGTTCTCACCATTAAAAACAATCAATTCATTTTTCTTGGAACAGAGTGGATGATCTTTCACTTCCCCACATTGAAATTCATCTAAAAGTAGGTTTTTGTTGTTTTGGCATAAGTACTGGTTTAATATTGTTCCAAAATTTCTCACTCTTCATCTGCAGTTTTATGTATTAACAGCTCCGCCCAATTTACTGTGAGTTAATTATTTCCCATTCCTTTGAAGTTTTCCTGATTAAATTTAAAACCTTGCCTTTGACTCTCTATCTCAAATTGAATATCAAATTTAATAATAATGTGGTCAATAGTACAAAGAGGTTCCCTTACAATGAAATTGTCAACTTATATGAGAAAATCAGGCAGGTTATAACATACGTTTGTAGACAGTCAGTGGAATAGCTAGGCAATATTAACTTGCTAACTACTGTTTTGCAAAGCTGAACTTCACCTGAAAGTTGTTTACACAGAGTGCTACCAAATTGTCTCCATTCTTTCCACCATTTTTAGTTCTTTCGTTTTATGATAATGAGTGATTGGTTATACTTGGAGAAAGTATGACGCCTTGAATAGTAACTTAAGAGGGGAACGTAGTTTTCCTAGTCTATGATAAAGGTTAAAGCAGTTTACTTGAACTCTGTGACCTTGTTTTCTGTGGTAGAAGAATGGTATTTTCTGAATTCAGAAACATATAAACAACTCTGTTCTAGGACGCAATGTTTACTCAAATGCAAGTCACAGCTTCTTGCCTCATTAAATTCATAGCGGATACTCAATGACAAACAACATTGTGTTTTTATATGATATATCAAACCACCAAAACGTAGGTGATTCAAGTAAGAGTAGCACTAACAAATCCAAAGCATACGGGGCTGTCCACACTAGTGTCAAAGATTTCTGCTTCAATATTGATTTACTTTTTATTCAATGTCATTTCTGACAATCTTTATTAATAGGTCACTCAAAAGAGAACAGACAGATCATGGACTCTGTGCTGGCTAAATGGGTATCTAGACCACGTAATATAGCACTGAACTATCCAGTTCAGGAATTTCCCAGACTTGGCTACTGGTCAATGTTGTCATCTCATCTAATGCAGCAGTAGGAATCCCTACACGTGACCTCAGTTACCCAGGCCCAAGAAAGAGAAAGTAATCAGCCACTATTCCTGCTGTTGATTATTATCTGAAAACTGTTCATCTTTAGAAAGCCACCAAAGATGGACTTGAGCTCAGCTAGAAAGTGTTCCCTCAGTGTTGAACTGCCTGCGGATAACATTTACACATAGCAAGATCCACAGGCAGCAATGGGATTAATGGGCAAATTGTCTGATGTTTGTTAAGGGATTAATGTTGGCCCTGGACACCAGCAAGAATTCACGTGCTCCTATTCAGATGGGATTTTTTTTAAGTCTGCCTGAGAGGGCTGACGGAGCCTCGGTTTAATGTCTCAATAGAAATATCTTCTCATCTGAAAACTTGTAATATTTTCATCTCCAAATCACACACACCTAAATGATCCAGCAACTCTATGGGTGGTTCACAGTCTTGAGACTTCTGTCTTCCTTTATCCTGCATTGTGAGCATTAACATGTCACCAGGAATTTTTTTATATAGTGTTTTTTCATGGGATATGGACATTGCTAAAAAGGACAGTTTT